CCGCCATTCGACAGCAGGTCACGGGACAGACCCACGTGCAGATCCGTCAAACCCTTATCAGTGCTCTTCCTTACCTTATCACAGGCCAATTCAGACATTATTGGTCACCCCGTGCCCCTTATAAATCTCAACGTTCACCCTACAAAGTCACATCACAAGTAGAGAAACACAAACACACGGTTTTTCTCTAACTCAATTTCCCTGTACAAGAATTCGGGTAAACCGTATGGATTGATAGGTATGCATGCATGTGCCATGGGTTGGCTGACTGAGATGACTGGTAGATTGCAACAGCTTTGCTGTCAAGTCTTCCAGTCACGAATATTGCATCAGCGGCAGGGTGAATGTCACACTAGGTACTCCTTTGTCGGAGCATGCTGCACTTCACATAGGGGCCGCGTGGCCTAATGGATAAGGCGTCTGACTTCGGATCAGAAGATTGCAGGTTCGAATCCTGCCGTGGTCGATTTTTTTCTAACCCCTATTTTTTTTGTGGCGACACTGCAATAAACGTTAAGTGAAACATTCAGCGAATGTTCTAAAAACTCCATGTGTTCGCCGCTCTTCGTGCAATTTAATGAAGAAAGATACGCCCTTTGGTCCATAGCATCCAGCGGAGGTGTATTCCGAGCGGTATGTAAATGCGTACCCCATTGTTAATCCACTGCTAGATGAAGGCCTCTTCACGCCGCGTCGGTGGTTGTGGTTGTTTGACCAGGCCCGCCGTAGCGGGTTGAGTAAAGGCGAATGAGGCAGACGTGTGCAGTACAACGAGGGAGTTTGTTGCACTGCCCTCTGCTGACCATAGCGTAGTCCAGCAGCCTTTCAAAGTGGCTGTGCATGCGTCGGGCGTGACTCATCGAAAACACGACGACCCAGCCTCCGTGCTGGTGCATTTGAAAAAATCGACAATTCCCTGTATAGAACAATCAACGCCTGCAGTGAGTGTTTATATGAAGCTGTGGTTGTAAGAAGGCTCGGTGAGCGATGTGGCCGCGTGGCCTAATGGATAAGGCGTCTGACTTCGGATCAGAAGATTGCAGGTTCGAATCCTGCCGTGGTCGTTAGTTTTACGTATTTATTCTAGATACAAAACTAATATGTAATATTTACATTGCATTCATGTAAGTAAAATGCCTTTTGATCAAATATTGTAAATTACCAAATGTTGCATTGTTCTTGAATCCACGTGTTCCTCTTACTGTGTCACAGTGTAAGTATTCACATATCCATGCACCATTTTATTTTCAGTTTTCTTTGTCAAGGTTCATTTTTACGATTGTACATATATACCAATGGTTGAAATGCTTTGGATAGCATGCGACAGCGGAACTGCTAAGAGCATGTTCTTAACCTCAAAAATTCGAGCATTTATTTATGGTTTAAAGTTATTTGAGTGGGAGAGGCAATGCGTGGAAGAGAGCAGACCGTTAGAGAATGCGATGGATTGGAGAGGCCGTCACCCAAGTGACTCTCATCTGGATATGAAGGCCCTCTCTTTTACTCTCTTAGCAGGATGTTACGATAACCATGAGGGCCTCGTGGCCTAATGGATAAGGCGTCAGACTTGGGATCAGAAGATTTTCGTGTAAGGTATACATTTTTTTAAGTTTTTTTTTTTCCGTGGGCTAATCCTGGGCTGTAACATGTACAATCCTGGGCTGTAACATGTACAATCCTGGGCTGTAACATGTACAATCCTGGGCTGTAACATGTACAATCCTGGGCTGTAACATGTACAATCCTGGGCTGTAACATGTACAATCCTGGGCTATAACATGTACAATCCTGGGCTGTAACATGTACAATCCTGTGCTGTACAATCCTGGGCTGTAACATGAACAATCCTGGGCTGTACAATCCTGGGCTGTAACATGTACAATCCTGGGCTGTAACATGTACAATCCTGGGCTGTACAATCCTGTGACCTTTCTTGCCAGTATCAAAGGATAAGAATAGGTGTTACCCTTTCTTGCAATATAACAGATTTTAAGATGTTCATACACCAAACATAAACCTTTTGCAAGGAATCATGTTTGCAATAACCACACATACATGTGGTGAACATGCAAACAAAAAATATATTCCTTACAAATGGTTTCCGTTTGGTATTTGAACATCTTAACAACTGATTTAAAGCTTTCGTGACTGCAGGGATTCATATTCTTGGTTCTTTCGGTAAAGTCACGTAGAAGGGAAACAATAAAATAATATTGTTTCATATTTTTATTATTTTATTGTTTCCCTTCTACGTGACTTTACCGAAAGAACCAAGAATATATATTTTAACACCTGTTTTATTGCCAGAAAGGGTAAAACCTATTCTCATGTACAATCCTAAACTCATGGTTATCCAAATAATAAATCATGGCCGATGATGATGAACCCCAAACCAGGGATCTTTTCGAGAATTCACCGCTCCTCCGTTTCCATGGCACATTGGCAAGCGGCTTCTGTGGCCCATAAGCCCAAAGATCAACACCGCGGCTCGAAATCTATGTTCATGTCCCTCTTCTCCCCCCGCCTCCTCCCTCCCACGACCAGATGAGGGGGCTCCCCGCGCTGGGCAGTTCGTTCGAGGAGGTTGCTTGACCATACTTCACGCTGGGAACCCAGGACCAGTTCAACTATCGCGCGTCATACATTTGCAATTCAATGTCTGTACGTACGGTTGAACTTATTGCGCACAATCGTGGCAATCGGAGGTACAATGCGTGCACAGGCAGCTCTATGAAGCGATATGAATGGAATCCATGTAGCTTTGCAACTCCTAAATAGCAATTCTTTATAAATGCGATGTGTTCTATTCGCCTTGCATTCGTTTTGTAATAGTTGTACCGTGTTAATGCAACGACCTTGCCATTTGGTGCTTGAGAATGTATTGCGCAACGGGGTTTACTTGTGCCAAAATTAAAACCCAACAAAACGTATAAATAATAGCCTATCTATTGTGGCCACGTGGCCTGATGGATAAGGCGTCTGACTTCGGAAGACTGCAGGTTCTAATCCTACTGAGGTCGATCTGGAATGCGTCTTATTGTTTCACTATTATTGCAGTCGTAATTTTGTATTGCATTGTATTGCAATGTAACAGGCAAAAACAACAATGTATGCAAACCGGTGCATGTTTTTCCACGTTGCAAGGAAATGCATGTGAAAGACCCAGATTTATTTAAAATGTTAACATTTCTCCTATGTTAATGTGTGTTCAGTAATAAAAAAAGATATTTTTTCGCTGGCTGCTTTCGAAGGGCTGTACTCCCCTCCCTCCCGCGTCTTTCAATGATCTCTAAACGAAGTGGCGGCGTCACTAAACCGCGAGTGGAGACGGGAGACGAGGTCAAGAGACTCTCACGGCTTGCGAAGAGAGTGGGGGAGAGCGCCGGGAGAGACAAGGAGGAGGAGAGAAGAGGTAAAGAGAGGTGGGAATGGAAGTTCGAGAGGAGAGGGGTGAGCGATGCAGAGTGGGCCGAGTTGAGAGACCACACGAGTTGAGTCAACCTTCACTTAGTGGGAGGTTGCTCATTCTATTCTGCTACCCCCATTGTCTGCAACTCACCCTTTGCATGCTATCCGTGCCGTCGACTCCCTGAGCCCTATTCAATTCAAGGCTCCAGGCCTTCCTTCAAGCGTCTGTACCTACACGTGTATACACACGGGGCAAACATAGATCAATTGGGAAAGAGAAACACACGGGGCAAAAATAGATCAATTGGGAAAGAGAAACACGCGGGGGAAGAGATGGCCAGACACAGAGAGGGCTTAATATAGAATTAGAGGAGAGAGATGGTGAGTAGAGAGTTGGAGAGTTATTATAGACCTGGGGAAATATATTGTAGCAGGGGTGCCACGGTGGGTGAGATGTTAACTACTTCGCTTGGTACATATGCAGGATTTTTTTTGTTCGATCCCGACTGTGTATTCAGAGTTTGCATGTTTACTCTCCACGTGGTCGTGTGGATTTTCTCTGTGTCCTCCAGTTTCTCGCTCCACATTCAGAAACGTGCGTTTAGAGGTATTTGGCTGCTATAAATATCCACATAAGTCACTTCGTTGAGCTATCATTTGTGGCCAGGTCGCTTCTGAAAAAAAAAGCTTTATAGCTCAGTGGGTCTTACCTGGTAAACCAAAGCATTGTTTAAATAATTTTAGTATATTGGGTCTCTGTGTCTATGCATATAATTGTTGCTGAGATGTACACACAATGGATATGCATGTCTAGTTGTGTAGATTCCTATGGAAGTCTGAACGATGTTTGCGCTTTTGTAGAACTTGAGTTTGATTCTCACGGTCACGGCTAACACGGGGTTCTCACAGCTGGTTCATCCAACTTCGTGGACCGCCGATCATCACCAACCCGCATTGACCAGCGTGGTGAAGTATGACCTAACAATACCAATGATTAGCACGGAGTGAAGAGGACTTTATCCAGCAGTGCATTCACAAGAGGGCTGCACGTTTATTTACATCTTCACTGGCTGTCGTATCCAGCATGGAAAGATCCGAACATTATTAGTTTGATCAATTATCTGGGTGCTTAACATCGGTTTTAATTGCAGTCTGATGATTTTTTTCATTAAAAAAGCCGCATGACAGTCGGATTCGAACCCGCAACCTTCTGATCCGAAGTCAGGCGCCTTATCCATTAGGCCAAAAGGCCCCCATGCCAATGGCGCTATCCTCCTGTGAAGGAGTATTAAGAAGATTCACAGCCTTCGTATGAAGATCCCTGTATGTCGAACTTCCTTTGCACCGTACCTTGATAATCACCTGAATATTTGGGGTTTCCGTATTCTCCCCGTGGTCGCGTGGATTTTTCTCCAGATCCTCGAGGTTTCCCCTCCACATTTAGAAACGTGCGTTCAGAATTATTCTTCTTCCTCCTCCTCCGTATGGTTAATGTAGATGCAGAGCAACGAATACAATTTCCCATGCAGGTGGTCAAGCCGGATAACCGCGTCAGGATCTTTGGAGTGTATCGCTGTAATGTCTCCTTCGTATTTGTGTGTCAGGCGCCTCTGTTATTATATGCATGGTCTGTTCTGGATGAGCATAGTCGCACTTTGAAAAGTCGTAAATTTTCCATTTGTGCATCAGGTATCCGCATCTGCCATGGTTCATACGGATGCAGTTCCGGGTGTACCATGAGCTTTGGCGAAGATCAATACCAGGCATCTGCGTTTAGAGTATTTGGCTGCTAAACATTTCCACATGATAGGCCACTTCGCCGAGCTATGAGTTTTGTGCAGTTCGCTTCCGAAAAAAGAGCTGTATAGCTCAGTGGGCCTTACCTGGTTAAAATAAAATACGATATTTGTAGCTTGGTTCATATGCCGGGATGCGTGAGATGCTCAGAGAGATGGAGAGAGAGAGAGGGGAGAGGTGGCGAGAGCGGCTCAAGAGAGCGGGTGAGAAAAGTGGGAGCTCTTGTTGATGTTTAAGTTTTCTTATTGAAACGCCACGTGAATCAATGATAGCAACACAAACACTGGATGCTCAGCCAAGCGGAGAAGCACAGGTGGGAACGGCGTGGGGGTTGTGGGGGACCTGAGCAAACGTGATTATGAAGGACAAACACTCTCCTTACTCTTTTTTTTGTCACACTTTCCAACTAACTTTAAGAGTCTTTGTTACATTACCTCTGTGCGTCCACCCGTCTGTATGTAACGGCGGGGGGGGGGGGTAGGGGGGGAGGGGAGGGGCAGGCACGATCTTCCAATATGAACTCAGCTTTGGTATGACGTTGGGTTTCTATTACAGACTTAAGCAATTAAAAAAAAAAACTAAAATAGATCGAAGCGTTGCCCCAAATCCTCGAGACACAAACCAGAGCAAAAATGACCATTTGCAGATATGCAAATGCGTTTTGCCCTGGATGTTTCCTAAATTAAATACGACTAATTAAATGCAAGCGAAAAAAAACACATTTGCTAGTGTTACATGATCCATTCGTCTCTCACTCATTACTTAAGAATGTCACATCGTACAGTATTCCCCCCCCTGTGTCAGAACATGATGTCGAAGGACTGACTACCTTTCTAAGTTACCCCTGAGAGCTCCATGAGCTGATCATGACCTCGAGCGGCTGCAGAACGACGCGCTCCTGCAACTAGTCAATGCATCGTCGAGTCAATCTCCGATTCTCTTTCGTCTATTTTTTTTTTACCAGCTCATTGGTATCGTTGCTGTAGTTTAGGCCATGATCTACCAAGGAAATTGCTGCCAACGGCTTCCGTGCCAAGTTTCTTGCTTTTGTTAACCATATATATAAATATATAAATACCGTGGTTGGTGAGCATCGGCCTCGACTGTCCAAAACCACAAGCAACAAAACGTAACAGGACAAGGTTATGAGTACCTGGGGACACGGGACGACGGTAAATTGCGAATTCCAAAGCGGAGCCACGGTCGCTCACTGCGCACGCGGTCTGCCTTCTGGGATCGACTTTGCCGCCCACGATTGCCCTGAAATTTCCCTCCGTGCATCACGGCCTCCGTGAGGCTGCCCTCCTGCCCGGCCACGACTGGCCGCCAGGCACCGCCGGCGATGACGATGACGGGCGCTAGATGTAGCGGCGCTGCGCGGGCGTGTAGTTGAACGTCTCGCCCTCGAAGGGTACGTTCGGCGAGCGGTTCAAGATGCTGCTCAGGAAGATGGTGATGGTGCCCAGCACCATGACGGGCCCCACCACGAAGAGGCACAGGCGGTCCAGCGTGCGCGCCACCCGGTTCCACGCCTCCTTCTCCTGTCGCCGGCGGCAACGAAGGAATCGGTATCAGCATCGGCACGGGCGCGGGGAGCAGCAGTAGAAGTCAGCGGCAGGAGCAGAAGCAGCAGCAATAGCGGCAGCGGGAGCAGCAGAAGTAATGCGAGCCGCACCGACAACAGCACTGGCAGCAGTAGCGCTACAAGCAGCAGTAGAAGCATCAGCAGTCGAAGCAGCAGTATCGCAAGCAGTATGCATGTTGAACGTCTTTCGCACCGTACGTAGCCAACCGTGCTAATAGGAAGTGTGGGGGGAAGGACAACAAACCAAACACAAAAAGCAGTTCTAAAGAAATGAGTTTTCAATCTAGATTTAAAACTTCACAGTTCCCAAAAGCTTCCTAATATCGGAACGAAGAGCGTTCCAGACGGCCGCAGACGCGCATCTTGAAATGAATGCGCCCGATGCGGTGACCGTCTTCGTTCCGATGGCTAGCCAAAAAGTCGCTGTGATGATGGTTTATGCTCCTTCACGAGAATAGCAAAGTAGAAGCATCAGCAGTCGCAGCAGTAGTATCATAGGTAGCAGCAGCAGATGCATAAGCAACACCGTCGGCAGTAGCGTCAATCACGGTAGCTCGATAAGTAACAGCAGCAGGACGAGCAGCAGCAAGAGCAGCAGCACAGTAATGAGCAGGATTAGTAAAACCAGCATCAGCAGCAGAATGAGTGCGGTTTGGGGGGGGGGTCCAGGAGGCCGCCCACCTCCCCGTGCAGGTTCTTGTCGCGCGTGTGCTGGGCGATGACGAGGGCCCCCTGCACAGCGGACCTCAGCAGCTGCAGCAGCAACTCAGCCTGCTGCTGCTCCACGCCGTCCGCCACCGCGTGCCGCACTGAGTACACACAGCGCACACACCCCGCACACACCCCGCACACACACCACACACACACCGCACACACACCGCACACACACCGCGCACACACACCACACACACCCCGCACACACACCACACACACCCCGCACACACACCCCGCACACACCCCGCACACACACCGCACACACCCCGCACACACACCGCACACACACCGCACACACACAGCGCACACACCGCACGCACCCCGCACACACACACCACACACACACCGCACACACACCCCGCACACACAGCGCACACACCGCACACACCCCGCACACACCCCGCACACACCCCGCACACACACCCCGCACACACCCCGCACACACACCACACACACCCCGCACACACACACCGCACACACCCCGCACACACCCCGCACACACACCGCGCACACACCGCGCACACACCACGCACACACCCCGCACACACACACCGCACACACCCCGCACACACACCCCGCACACACCCCGCACACACCCCGCACACACACCACACACACACCGCGCACACACCACGCACACACCACGCACACCCCGCACACACACCGCACACACCCCACACACACACCACGCACACACCCCGCACACACCCCGCACACACACCACACACACACCACACACACACCACGCACACACACCGCACACACACCACGCACACCGATTGTGTACACATGTAGACAGAGAGACGGAGGGCGCTCGCAGACCCCGCCCCCCCCGGCCCCTCCCGAGCGGCAATTAACCCTTTCCCGTTCCGATGACGTACGTGTACGCCATTTCGTTTTTCTTCCGGTTCCGTTCCAATCAACCGGCACTGACCAGCGTGCTCGAATAACCCTCATTCAGGGCTGTAAATCAAATCATGAACACCGCGGAGTCCGGTAAAAACGACGGATTCAGCCCGCACGCAGGCGCCAGGTGGACGCAGAACCGTTCGAGAGACGGACACGGCATAGGCAGTCCCTCGTATGTGCAGGCATGCACCTTTGTTTGTACATACGGCATGTTGACCTTCTTTCGCAACGTACGCAGCCAACCGTGCTAATCCAGCAGTGGACCGATGACGCTAGGCGACATGGGCGATAACGGAGACGGACACGCCCGCGGCATGAAAGTAGTACCGGCGGGCGTGCGGCGCGTGACGAGGCCGTGCCGCTCGCTCATGCGCTCGAACATGAGCTCGCTGCGCGCCTTCACGTGCACGTACTCCTCCGCCGTGGCAATGAGGCCCAGCGAGCTGCGCCTGCGGGGCCCCAGCCCCGGTGCGCCGGAGTCCGGCGAGTCCTCGGGCTGTGACATGTGCAGTATCCGCGGGAGGCGCTCCAGGAAAACCTGACGACACGGCCATGGTGGTGGTGGTGGTGAGGCCATAAGCAAGCGAAAGACGACGACCACCCCCACCCCCCCCTTCACTACCACCCCACTAACCGTGACAATTTGCCAAACGTCTTGGTTTGGCTTGTAGGGGTGGAGGGGTTTCCCACCTTCACGAGGCGGGGGCGGAGTTTGAGGGGGGGGGGCGGGCAAACCCGGCCCAAACTGGACGCCTTTATTAATTTATTTTCAGTCATTTACAAGAAAGATTAAAAAAATCATTATGTGCACCCGCGATTCATAATGTGAGCGACAAAGCGAACCCCTTCCCCCCCCCCCCCAAGTCAAACTCCGCCTGAGCGCCAGTGATCAACGAAACTAAAGAGTAGAGTGTAATTTTTTTTCCATCGACGAATCGCCCCCCCCCCCCGCCTGCCAATCCTGCAAAATATCGCAAACCAGACCGACCTACCACCGCAGTTGTCACCCCATTGTCTTGTCCCGGGTTTTACAAAGCCAAGATGCATTGACGGACTGGGAATTTAAACAATAATCTGCCCAGGCATTTGGAAACAACCCGGCCCCAAAGTCTGGCAATGAGCAATTATTTATTAGTTTTAATGGGTTGTGCGACAAACTGTCTAGTAATAATCTTGATTTGAAGCTTTCGCGACTGCAGGAATCCACACTCTTTGGTTCTTTCGGTAAAGTCACGTAGGTAGAAAATAAAATAAATCACGACGTTTAGCTCGCAACACAAGCGGTCGTTCTCAGGCGGAAAATATAGAATCCAGCAGTGGATCTGCTGAACTAGCGAGAGAGCAGCTACAACGAGGCTATATATACGTGGCGATGGGCAAGCAAGCGGGGCCTGAGCTGGAAAGGAATTCCACCCCCGGATGCAAGCACCTCAGTTGTGTATGTCAGCTGTTATTTCCGACTCTCTGTGTCTCTCTCTTTGGATTGCACTCTCATGTTCATGTCCTTGGATTGCACTCACACGGTGCTGATCTCTCATTAACACTGCTGTTGTGCGCATATGCGGGCATGATACTGTTATGCGGGGACGGAAGCTCATTCATGCTAATCTCCCTCCCTAATCCCTCTCTCCCTAATCCCTCTCTCCCTAATCCCCCATTAACACAGCAGTTCCACTGCTGTGTTATATGTTTTCTGCCTGAGGACGACCGCTTGTGTTGCGATCGAAACGTCGTGATTTATTTTATTTTATACCTACGCGACTTTACCGAAAGAACCAAAGAGTATGTGTAGTAATAGTCGCTAGGTTTACGATGTGGTGATGTGTTTGCGTGACTTTGCTGCGCGATCCCATTGGCCCATTTGGGCTGGGTCCAACAAATACACAAATGGACCGGTGAGGAAGAATCTTTGGGGCCGCCGGATATACGGGGACTCGATGCCACCCGAGAGCGTAAAAAAGCAACGAAGCGTACACATTATAAATATTTTACCGATAAAAAATATTTTGATTTAAAGCTTTCGTGACTGCAGGGATTCATATTCTTGGTTCTTTCGGTAAAGTCACGTAGAAGGGAAACAATAAAATAATAAAAATATAAAACAATACAATTCTCACGACGTTTTCGACTGCAACACAAGCAATCGTCATCAGGTTATTAATAAAAGACCGGCCCACGGAATGGACCGGCCCATCGGGCATATTCCCCATGGACTGGCCTATCAGCAGTCAGCGCCTGGCAAGAGGTGGTGACCCTGGACGTCCATGTGTCATTGGCGGACGCCGTGGTGATGGCGTGGATGGAGGCGGCGGTGGTGGTGGCCTCACCTTGCGCATCCAGGGCTGGAGGTGGTGTGTGCTGGGCGAGCGGTGGTGAAGGTTGAGGACCACGACGGAGCTCAGCACCACCATAGTGACGAGCACCATTATGAACATCAGGTACCTGGGGCCACAAAGTAGATCGTTCGTGTCATCATCACGATGGCCGTCGTCGTCATCGGTAGAAGTGGCAGCACCATGGGCATTGTCATATTCATTGCCGTACAGCCGCTGTCCGCACAACCTCTTCCACCGTCGACTTCACAACCACCATTGCCATCGCCATCGTACAATCACAATTCCTATGACCTGAATTGTCATCATTAGAAGTGTAAGGGTGTTGTAAGCACCCTTGGCAAAATAGCATAAGATAGCAGATCTGTCACATCCATCGACAGGGGATGGGGACATTGTCAGAGGGAGGAGAGGAGGCAAGGAGGGATTAATTGAGAGGAGGGGCCAGGGAAAGTTGGAGGAAGGGCAGGGAGGGGGGAGAACAAGGTGGTGGCCGAGTCTGGGAGATCCACATGTGAATAAAGAGAAACCTTATGTTGAGCCTCTGTGTTCTTCTTACAGAAGCATCGATATCATCATCGCTATCATCGTCACCATCTATATCATCACTATCATCGTCAGTAGAGAAATCAACATCCACATGAACGTCATCATCTTCATTGAACAATCGCTGTCCCACCACTAACGACAAAGACCACCCCCCGCCCCCTTATAGCCTTAACAGGCTGTTGGGGCAAGTGCAAGCAATTAGTGAGTAGCACCTATGAAGACCGACACGGCACACGAGGGGGGTGAGTGATCACCCCCACTCCTATCACCCGCCCTGCCCCGCCACCGCGTGTCCTCACTTGGCGATGATGGGGACCTCGAGGGAGGTCTCGGGGAGCTTCTGGGCCACGAGGAAGAGGAACACGGTCTGAGCGAGCAGCACTGAGATGGACACAGTCATCTTCTCCCCGCCTGCTCACACCAGCATCACCGTCAACACAACCGCCACGATTATCATCAGCTGCAGCATCCTCATCGCCACAATCATGAGTTTCATAACCTCCATAATTGTCAGTAGAATCGTCATCAGAAGCAGTGGCATCATCATCAGCAGCAGCAGCAATATCATCAGCAGCATCACCCCCAGCTGAAACTGCCACCATTAGCGTCGCCGCCATTCCATCGCCGTGACGTCACCGAATCCCGCTCATCACCTCCCATCCAGCGGCACCTCCCAACTATTTGTATGTTATCTGATGAATCGAACCACTAGTGTAATCGATCACCTAAATAAAAGGATATCCCAGCTCTAGAGCACACACAGGGCCAGCTTAGGCTTGATGTGGGCCTGGGACCAGGCCCAGACTGGCCATAGGGCAGGCCGTTGATGGCCAGCACACAAAGTGCTCACCACAAATGAACCACAATACCTTGCTGATCTTGCCATGGAGCATAAACTATTCCACGAACTCCGGTCATCCTCACGGCGGCTTTTGGCTGTTCGTCGAACAAAGACGGTCACTGCATCGTGCGCCTTCAGAGCGTCTGGAACGCTCTTATGCTACTTGGAAGCCACTGGGAGCTATGCACTTTTAAATCTAGATTGAAAACTCATTTCATTACAACTGATTTTTGTGTTTAGTTGTCTTTCGCCCGCCCCCCCCCACACACACACATCTGTTTAGCACGGTTGGCTATGTACGGCGGGAAAGAAAGTTCAACATACATACATACATACGGCCTCGCACACAGGCACACACGGCGCAGACACACACATACACACACGACGTCAGTGCCACCGCCATCACGTGGACACTCACAGTCACAGGGGAGGTAGTAGGCCAGGCTGGCGATGAGGCTGATGATGACCATGGGGATGATGATGTTAATGACGTAAAAGAGCGGCTTGCGTTGGATGATGACGTAGAAGGTGATGTTCTGGTACTTGGTGTCGTCTTTGGACAACGCTGTGTTAATGTGCTTCTTGGCTGGCAGGTGCACAATCTCCCATTCGCCGTTTTCTGCGGACATGCAGAGGAGGAGAGGGCTTAAGGAGGGAGGGCATTGACTCGACAACAGCATACCGTGTCAACCCATACGGGTTTACCCCGTATTCTTGTACAGGAAAATTGAGTTTTCAGGTCCATACGGCGTGCAGCCGTTTCAATACGACCAAACAAAATGTGTCTATTTGTGTGTCTCCCTTGTGATGGGACTTTGTAGGATGAACGTTGAGATTTATAAGGGGCACTGGGTGGCCAATAAGGTCTGAATTGGTCTGTAATAAGGTAGGGCACTGATAAGGGGTTGACAGGTTTGCTAAATCGTTACTAGTACAGTACACCGGTGTGTTGGAGAGTAATCCACAGATTGTAAATGTTGTGGGTTTACTCTCCAATGCGTACTAGTAACGAATTGGCATGTTCTGTTCACGTGACAAACCTTTCTAATTGGCTGTGTCGGGTGGTGGTGGGTTTTACGACACATTTATTTTTACGACACATTTATTTTTACGTGATTTAACCCCCAAAAAACCTGCATTATGGATGTTGAGTGTCGTGTTATGGGACATCAGTTCGTCTGTTATTTTGTGTCTTGGATTGGTTGACGGGTTTTTTAAAATTCCGATTACAGTACTATGAAAATCAGGAACACATCCCAACCTGTGACCCATTGAGGTTGTGCGAGGTGATGATGATGATGATGATAAGATTGACTGCTGCTGATGAAGACGCTGATGGCAATAATCCACAATCAGATGACGATGAATCTGCTGCTGCCGACAATAACAATGCTGATGTTTCTGTAGTTGCACGATCATTACATTGCAACTTCTGCTGCTGCTGATGATAATAATAATATTGCTTCCAGCAATGAAAAGTATATATGTTTTATCGATGCTGATGATGTTTCTGTAGCTTCTGCTGCGAATGATGATTTTATTCATTACGATGATGACGAACCTGTTACTGCTGATACTGCTGCTGATTATTCTGCTACTCATGATGATGCTGCTGCTGCTGATGATGCTGATGCTGCTGCTGAATGATGATGTCATGATACCCGTGAATATATCATGGGATCGTTTTGCCAGTTTCAAAGTATGACAAATAAGAATAGGTGTTTACCCTTTCTGGTAATAAAACAGGTGTTCAGATGTGTCATCACCAAATAGATACCTTTTTTGCAAGGGATCAAGTCTGCATTAACCACACGTACTTGCGGTGAACTTGCCAACAAACATGGTCTGATAATAATAATAATACATGGGCATTGTCGTTGAAACTGATTGGTCTACAGCAGAGACATCCTGCTTTATGGCCAAGTCTCACCAGTGTCAGACCCGAGAACGCAGAGCGACAAGCAGTGCAGAGACCATGCACGTATCAAGAGTATTTATGAGCATTACCCGTGAAGGCCTCCTTATCGGTCACGATCCATTCCACGGTGAAGAACTTATTGGGGGGATCCTGATCCTGCTCCAACTTGAGCTGCATGTTAATCTCACGGGCGCTGTACGTAAGCGAGCTGGGATGGACACCAGTAGCAGCATCAGCAGCAGAAAAGCAATCATCATTGTCATCATAACGGTCAGTAGAAATGTGTAATCATCAGCAACAAGAGTAGCAATATTCTCTGGTTCTTTCGGTAAAGTCACGTAGATAGAAAATTATAATAAAAAAGTGAATAAATAAATAACACAATTATAACAATAACAAAACACGAATGTAGACTGTAGCCATGGTTCTTAATCGGATTGAGTGTACTGGCAATCTATAATGTAGACTATAGCAATGGTTATTAAGTTTGGTGAGTGTACTGGCAGTCTATAATGTAGACTGTAGCAATGGTTATGAAGTTTGGTGAGTGTACTGGCAGTCTATAGTGTAGACTGTAGCAATGGTTATGAAGTTTGGTGAGTGTACTGCCAGTCTATAATGTAGACTGTAGCAATGGTTATGAAGTTTGGTGAGTGTACTGGTGTAGCCAACATTATCTACTGCCAGTACGCTCACCGAGGTTAATAACCAGTGAGCTGGCAGTCTTGCCTCTTGCCTGCACCGTGCGTCAAGCGCACGAGTCACTGGACATTTAGGAAAAGACATTTTTTATTGAATGTCCCGGGCCAAACTGATACATTTGGTGGCTTTAAGGTCGACAGGTAAACCGGTGTGTTGGTAGGTAGGGGGCCGTCCATAAATGACGTCACGCCCCTGGGGGGGGGTGGGGGTCAGACATTTGTGACGATGTATAACGGTGGGGGGGGTTTAATAATGTGACGTCACATAAAAATGCGCAAATTTAAATAAATATAAACATGTTCTACTTAATTAAATAGACTTTTTAATAAATGTTTTCCCCTACAACATCAGAGTGCAGCGGCACATTAAATACGCACTACAATGACAATAGTTTAAAGCAATTTGAAGCATGTTTTATATATTTTTTTGGGGGGGGGGACAGATCTTTGTGACGTCATATTTGAGGGGGGGGTTCTGACTTTTTGTGACGCCGTGTGACTGGGGAGGGGGGGTTAAAAATCGCGTGACGTCATTTATGGACGGCCCCCATGTGAGTGGTAGATGGGCGGTGGGTGAGCAGGTGGGCGATTACCGGAACACCAGAGTGCAGTTCTGCCAATCGAAGGGGTAGTTGATGACGCTTATGGAGCAATAGCTGCGGTAGATGGCGGGCGGCAGCCAATACACAAGCCCGCTGCTATCCAGAATCACGTTACAGTACAGCGCCATCGTGTACTGCCCATCGATACTGCACACGCAACACAACAGCGACAACTCCGTTATGACTTACTCCGTCACCTGCCCCCCCCCAAGCCCCCGTATAGCATGTATAGTAACAGACTGTAGGGGCAAGTGCTGCTAGCGAGCACCTATGACGGCCAGTACGGCACACGAGGGGGTGGGTGGCTAGCACCACGCCCGACCGCCTTTGTCTCCCCAGTGGCGATTTTTTTTTTTTTTTTACACCAACAGCAGGTACTAATTTGAGGCTGAGTCCGACCTAAGTGGAGGCCCATGAGCGGTTCAAATAATCGTCACCGGTGTTGGCCGTGAGCGGGTAAGCGGCCTGAGCTCTGGGCCACACGCGGGTTCCGTTTGCGCAGCGCTCAACGCTAAACCCTCACGACGAGCGCCTTCTCGATCCAAAGAACGACGGCAAGCAGACACGTGCTCGGGATCGGCAGCCACGCAACAGAGACACTTGACGGCGTGCAATGCCAACGCACGCGCACTGACGCGCTTACTTGTTCTCCAGGACGATTTCGGGCAGCCACACTTTAGTCGATGGAACGCGGAGTTCGACTATTCCGCCGTATTCCTCGGGGTCCCAACTGAGCCGGTAGTCGGTCCACGTCTGCACGGGGCCAAAGTCAGAGGGCGCCTATGAAGCGGCGATGTTGTGGGTGGCATAGCTGACAACCCCATACAGTTTACGGTCAAATTATTGTTTAGAGGGAAATTGCGTTTCAGGTAAATACGGCGTAGAGCCGTTTCAATACGGGGGGGAAAAAATGTTGTCTTTGTGTTTCTCCCCAGTGATGGGACTTTGTAGGATGAACGTTGAGATTTTATAAGGGGCACGGGGTGACCGATAATGTCTGAATTGGTCTGTAGTAAGAGGGCAGGGCACTGATAAGGAGTCGGCGGGGCCGAAAAATATTCACAGACGGACACTGCTTCGTCAACTGCTTCTGTCAGTGTCTGTAGTGAACAATACAATGTGGTGACTCCTGCCCGTGGTGGAGTCGGATGAATTAAGAATCTCACAAATTACTAATGTCGAATTTTACGGGCGAAGACCGCACCAATCAAGACACTCATTGGCTTTTCCCCAGAAGCTCAATATTTGAAAACTAAGGTTATAATCTGATTGTATTACTCTGGGATTATTATTATTCACTTTTATCATAGTTATTCATTTTATTGGAATTTCGAGAGTAGTCATTGATATTGTTATATTCAGCTTTCTACTTCTGCTTAGATTATATCTTTATTTGTGAGTAGTTTTATTTTTACGTACAGCGCTTTGAGATACTTCTAAATGAAAGGCGCTTTATAAAGCAGTGGTTATTATTATTATTGGCTGTCCCATCATCGTTCGTGCCAACCACTGCGTTTATAGGTAAGATGGAATTGCGAACCGAGGTAAATTGAGATGTCAAGATGCGTCGACTTACTTGATCGATCCACACGTTGGTGAGAAGCGTTTCATCGGCCTCTTTCTGAAATGAAAACACAAACGATCGAAAAACGTCGATGAAGTTCCCATCGTGGCCGTGTACACAGGGAGGGCCCATCCTGACATTTGTTTTTTTATATATATAGTGGCCAACGTGTTTGTAATACTCTATCAACTGATTTAGCACGTATATATTTAATCCAAGTGTTCTTCTTCCATCGCATGGCAGGAGGGAAAAAGCATCAGTGTTGAAATCCAAAATGTTCTTTCAACCAATCCAAGGAGGATAAAAGCAGCAGCAGCAGCAGGCGCGTGCCAGGATGTTGTTGCATGGACGGCACAGTTCGTCGACGACGATGATCCATTGTTTGATGGTTCGGGCTTCACCGCAGTCGCAGATTGGCGATTCTTTTAATGATCGTCCGATTGTGGAAGGCCGACGTGCGTTTCCCCACGTGGCATTCCAGCGCGGCAGTGGTCGTGGGATTGAGGAGCCCGGTTCTTCCTCAGTGGGTTCCTTAGTCAGGGGTCTGTTTTCCACGTCCGTAGCCGGGCACGATCCCTTTCGGCGAGTGCCGACGTCTTTATCTTCGGCTGCTAAAGTGGAGGCGCACATCCAGTAAAGTTTTTTTTGTACTTCATCCGATGGCGTGGGGCATGGGCGGAATTTGGGGGGGGGGGGCAACGCCCCCACAAACTGAACACCTTTATTAATTTATTTACAGTGGTTTACAATTAAGATTACAATTTTAATAATAATATGCACCCGCTGTTCTTAATATGAGGGACAAAGCGAACCCCTATCCCCCCCCCCAATATAGAAATCAAACTCCGCCTATGGCGTGTGGGGTTTCTTTGCGGACTCGACGGGAGTGGCAGAGCAATGTTGTCCATGTAATCCCAATAGTTTGACTTCTGCGTTAGGCCGCGTTATCTGAAAAAAATTTTCCCCCACCACCACTCACTACTGAGAGAGGGCATCTTCAGGAGTAACTCCTAAAAATGGCCACGGTAGAGCGATGGAGAAAGACTGACAGCAGTTGCAGGATGGTGATGATGCTTAAAACGAAGACCTTTCAATAAAATAATAGGATGATGTTATTCTCTAAATTAGCTCCGATATTTTCTTATTATCCCTCCCCTTGGGCAGCAGTCTAATGATTTATTTTCCCGATAGCCATAGATTTGAGTACCTTGCATAACAGTACTTTATAAATGTAATTTATTATTACTATTTTAACATCTCCTAATAAATCAGTAGTATGCTAATTCAAATAAAGGTATTGCAGTCAAACAATAGTATGGTGTTGATGAAGATAAGCATCTTCAAAATCAGTGTACGTAATATAGTATGATGATGACGGGACATATTTAAATAAATCAAGAGTGGGATTATTCTAAAATGTTTAAATAAACCAACGCAATGAGGATGATGTATGTACGTTGAAATTCTTTCGCACCGTACGTAGTCAACCGTGCTAATCCGAGGTACGGGGGAAGGACAATAAACTAAATACAGAAAGCTGTTCTAAATAAATTACTTTTCAATGTAGATTAAAACGAGCATAGCTCCAGTGGCTTCCGAATATCGGAAGGAAGAAGAATTTTCCAGACGGCCGCAGAAAGAACATCTGAAAGTGCGCGATGCGGTGACCGTCTTTGTTCGATGGCGAGCCAAAAGCCCGCTGCGACAAGATCTGCAAGATTTTGCGGATAATTTGTGGCAAGCACTTTGTGTGCACTGAGTGTGACCTTGCGATCCATTTGTTTGGCAACCGGAAGCCAATGAAGCTCGATGAGCCCTGGACGGACAGGGCCCGGATCTTGCAGTACCCGTCACGACACGTGCCAAGGAATGTTCAACACGCCGCTGCTTGCTTGCGTTTTTTGTGTGCCAGACGTTGCAAAAATCGAGCCTTGTCAATGCTACGCCGCATGCCACCGTGTGTGTAACATCGCATCGACCGTCCATCGTCGTCACGATGTGCGTCGGCCCTTTGGATTTTGCCATGGGAGTATTCGCACACGCGTGAGAGCATGGGTGAGAGGCGCCGCCCACCAGAGAGATGAGGTTGGAGAGCGAGAGCCCCAGGGATATGTCCACGGGGACATCCTTGTCGTGCGTGGGACGGACGTCACGGTTGTAGTTTTTGAAGAGGTCGTTGTAGAGTCGCTGCTCCTCGTTTTGCACCAAGGACTCGCCCGCTCCTGGGAAGGACAACGCGGGCGGCGGGGGATGATGGTTTTCTGCACGTCGGACACGGCAATTATCGTTTCACGTTATAGTTCCGATGACGCACGGTGTCGGAACTCGAGAATCTGTCGCCCTGATGAAACCGGCGCTGCTGCAGCCTCCGTTGAAGCGTGCCCGGGCTGAGACACTTAGAAAGATTGAGCTTCTTAACTGCGTATGTAAAATAAATGCATTATTGAGCTTCCCCCCCCCCCCCCCCAAAAAAAAAGAAATGTATTTTATAATTTGTGCATGGTGTACAGTCTGTAAAGTACCCACATGGCAAATTTCAAGTTTGTTGCATGTCGGGAAGTACGCTAAATATTTTGAACAGACACACATAATCACAACTTTGCCTTTTATATATATACGGAGATGTGTTATATATACAAGATTAATATAAAACACAAGATACCTCCGTGGTATAATGATTAGCCCGCGGGGTGTTAGCTGCGATATGGCGACACGATGGTATGTCGTACGATAGAAGATCGATCGATAGAAGATCAATCAGTATTCGTCTCTTAAGCAAAATATCGCTATATTGTGATTGCTGTTGCTCGTAATTGTTTGTTCGTTGTTCAATTTCGTGACGAAACATTGAGGAAATAAAAGTTCACAACCATGCTTATGAATTTTTGTGCCAGCTAAAAGGGTAAAAACCTATTACTATATCTTGCTACTGGCAAAGGTGGTCTCATAATGTAAAGGCTTGCCCCGAGCTCTCGATACTCTGATAGTGCACTGTTTTTTGAGTTGTACGCCTTATGGCGTCATCTGGTCCAACACCAGTGGAGACTAAGGGCTCTAAGAAAAGCCGTCTCGGGTGTAGACCAATCAAATTCAAGGACAGTGCCAATATCATTATCAGGGTTGTTTCTTTTTAATTGTAATTTTTGACTGCTTGTGTTGTGGTTATTGCAAACATGATCCCTTGTATAAAGGTGTCAGTTGTTGTGCCAGATAAAAGGGTAAAAACCTATTACTATGCTTGTGAAGTTCACGGAAAAAAATATTTTGCTATTACACATTAAAGTGGAGATTTGATTAAAAAATATGATTTACACCTCCCTCTCTCCCCCACCTCCCCCCACTTAAAATGTGATACCAATCACGCCATCAGCGCTCATCTCATGCGGCACAGAATCGTGTTGGAAAACCTCGCGGGGCAGTGCGACCCCGTGCGTCAGTATGTACGTGCTGGATGTCGAACTTCTTTCGCGAAGTACGTTAGCCAACCGTGCCAATCTCGGTTGGCTACGTACGGTGCGAAACAAGTTCAACAAAGATATATTTTTTATTTAAAGCTTTCGTGACTGCAGTAATTCATATTCTTAGCTCTTTCGGTAAAGTCACGTTATTATTTTATTGTTTCCCTTCAACAAAGATATATTTTTTATTTAAAGCTTTCGTGACTGCAGTAATTCATATTCTTAGCTCTTTCGGTAAAGTCACGTTATTATTTTATTGTTTCCCTTCAACAAAGATATATTTTTATTTAAAGCTTTCATGACTGCAGTAATTCATATTCTTAGCTCTTTCGGTAAAGTCACGTTATTATTTTATTGTTTCCCTTCAACGTGACTTTACCGAAAGAACTAAGAATAAAAATATATTTGCAGAGCCTTTTCCCAAAAAAAAACCCCCTTCAGGTGGTCATCTTTCCCACGTACATTACTGCGATACTAGATTCGTGTTTGTCCTGTGAAATGTGATTCTGAGAGTTGCAATCGAGACGAAATTAAGTGCAAAACCAAAATAAATAAGTTATTGGGGGGGGGGGGGGGGGTTGTGTGTGTGCAGTCAACGATCACCGACTATAATTGCGACTCCGGTGGCTGAATCACCCGGTGGCTGAAAGGGGGATTCAAACTCAGGATCTCAGCTGTTGCCAACTCAGAGCTCTGACCCCACCAACCTTCCAGCCATCCGGCCACCTCCACAAATGGGACTCGCTGCAAGAGCGCAGCATCAAAGTTTATTTATAACCAGGAGAGTGAGAGAGAGAGAGCGAACTCGTTGAGACTGCAAGTCTCGCTGGTAATGGGGCACATGGGAAAGAAAGCAAATAAAAGAGCAGATCCAGAAAACGACGATCACATTTAAATGCCAACAGACACGATTTATGAACGGTCTACTGTGGGATTTTCTCAATGCATGCCTTATACCAGATTAATGCAAAACACAGGATATGGTGTGTTAGCCGCGATATTGCAATACGATGATAAATTGTATGATATTAGATCCACGGTAATCAGTATCGTCTGTGAAGCTAAATATCGTCATATTGTGATTGCTGTTATTCGCAATTTTTTGTTCATCGTTAAGTTTTCGAACAAAATATTGAGGACATAAAAGTTCGCAATAATACCTATGAGAAAAATGCTATTCGCCATTAAAGTGGCGCTTTGCAAAAGGTTTTCTGGAGTCATCTCCGGTAGTGGCGATCATATGATGTCTTCATTTTCACGAACAACCTTTGTGCCCATGGCTACACAGCGGAAAGGAGACAAGAGGCATTGATACAATGCATGGAAAGGTTAAAAGGAACGGGACAGGCCTATCTCGCCTGGTATACAGGATGTGTGGGTTCAATCCTGACCATGACACCTGCTGCTGTATATTTGGAGTTTGCATGTCTCTCTCTCCCCGTGGTCGCGTGGATTTTTCTCCGGGTCCTCCGGCTATTCCCTCCACATTTAGAGACATGCGTTTAGAGTATTTGGCTGCTATACATTCCACATGATAAGGCCACTTCGTTGAGCTATAATTTGTGGCCAGGCTGAAAAAAGGGCCATGTAGCTCAGTGGGCTTTTCATGATCAAATAAAAATGTGTTGAGTTTTAGTTCAGTTGAAGAGAAAGAATGGAAAATAAGAGGAGAATGATGGAATAACGGGTGCGAATGTTCAGGCAAGATGAATATCGGGAGGAAGAGGCGACATAAAAATATCTATGCTGCTGCACGGAGCAGCATCTGTGTTCAAAGTGGCGGGGGTAGTCGGGAGAGGGGGCAGAGTTCAGAGTGTGGGTGGCCACACAGAAGTTACGTAATTTACGGGAGGCTTGAATTGATTTAAAGAGATGGTCAATCTGATTATGAAATGATTAATTTTTCATACTTTGAAACTGGCAAAGTAAGGTCCCATACTATTGTGTAACTGCCTGGATGTGAACTCTAAGTGTTACTGCAGGTCACAGAGTTGCAACGAGTGTCCGGTATATGATGTATGGGGCAGACTTATGTGGCGTGAAATGCAGTGAAATTACTTGGAATGATTGTTTTAGTTTGTTCCTACTGGAAGAACAACAACGCAACGAAAACAAGACTCTAAAATGCGAAATTGTAATAACATTACAGTGCAACGTTAAGTCAAACGTTTATCGCGATAATCGCCATCTCCTGAAACGTAATATCGTATCGCATCGTGAAAGTGTATATTGCCGTAACCCTGGTTAGCGCATTGGACTCATAATCAAGAGCTTGCCGATTCGACCTCCCGGCGTGGCAGCTGAAATCCGCCTTCACCCCCCTCTCCCCCCACACACAGCCACCTCCGTCCTTCCAGCAGTATAAATGGATGTGGTGGAGTAAACGTGTAAGTACCCCCACCTCTTTCAAAACGACTGACCAGCATGGAAGAGTATAGGCCAAACATACCCCTCTAGAAGGGCGTGTCAAGAGCCCCGCTGTAGTTGGAGGCCCTTCCACCAGCAGTGGCGGGAGCCGGCAATTTCAGGGCTGCGCCTTGACCTTCTACGCCACACTAAGAACGTACAAACAAATGCGAAGGCTAGAAGCTAATGATCGAATTCATTTACATTTAGATTACCGGAGCAATGCCAATTGGCAATAATTTACCCAGGCAAGCCTCAACGTGTCTCGAGACTTATTGTCCAGGCTTGTGCTACTGCATTTAGATGTTTGGACATTTTCCATTGCAATCAGAGGTGTTCTTTTTACTTTGTGTGGGAAGGAAGCGATGAACCCGGAGAAAACACCCACCTCGCATCCGAGGGGCGGGGGAGTGGTGAGATGGGTTGGGGGACACATCAGCACTGCCATCGTCTGGCCCACACCTCGCTGCCCCACGCCTAAACTAAAACTAAACGTTTATATAACCGAGTATAAGGCCCACTGAGCGACATAGATTTTTTTTGTCAGAAGCGACCTGGGCACAAATGATAGCTCAACGAAGTGGTTTATTGCGTAGAAATGTATAGCAGCCAAATACTCTAACCGCATGTTGATTCTAAATGTGGAGGGAAAACCGAAAGACCCGGAGATAAAAAATCCACGTGACCACGGAGAGAGAGAACATGCAATCTCCAAATATGCAGGTGTCAGGGTCGGGTACCAACCCACGACCTCCTGCACACCAGATGAGGTTGTTAACATCTCGCTAACGAGGCCAACGTTTGACTTCGTACGGTGCGAAAGAGGTTCAACATACAGTTCATACACACGACACCGATCAGAGACTTGAGCAGGCGGCTCGAACTAGCTGAGGCTCCACACGTGTGTAGGAAGTCGCTTGCAGTCGTGAGGGGTGGGATATTCGACAAATTCACAGCGTCAAATGTTGGCCGGCGCACATCAACCACTCCGAGTTCAGAGGCAGTGGTGGAAAAAAAATATCCACATTTCTATGGCGGGGCCACCAGCCTAGCCACGGGACCGCTGCCACCGTTGGCTTAACGCTTTACTTTATCCGGCGCGTGGGGGGGTAATGGGACGATGTGTTGGGATTGTAACAACCGATGGCTTGAGACGAGCGCTGGCTTTGGGATGTAGCGCGCCAACCTTACGCAAACACACGCATAGATCACGTTCACATACACGCACACATTGCTCACACACGCACACACACACACACACCTCTCTCTTAAAGACAAAGACCCCCCGTATAGCCTTAACAAAGTGCCGTGGCAAGTGCTGTTTATCGAGCACCTATGATGACACCGTCACTCGCGGCCGCCTTTGTCTCCCGAGTGACGATGCTTACTACACACACCGCATTTGACACTCCCTCGACCGTGGGGAGGAGGCCCAGGACCGGTTTAGATATCCGTGGGCGGGAATCGAATTTTCCGTCGCCGGGTTCGTAGTGTAGCGCTCTAACCACGGCGCCACCAAAAAGACAAAGATCCCCCGTAGAGCCTGTAACAGACTGTTGGGGCAAGTGCTGTTAGCGAGCACCTATGAAGGCCGGCACGGTACACGAGGGGGTGGGTGGCCAGCACCACGCCCGACCGCCTTTGTCTCCCTAGTGGCGATGTTCACTACACACCGCACCAGGTACTCATTTGAGGCTGAGTCGACCTAGGGAAGGCCCAGGACCGGTTCAGAAAATCGTCACTGGTGTTGGCCGTGAGCGCGAATCGAACTCGGGTCGCCGGGTTCGTAGAGAAACGCTCTAACCACTGCGCCACCGCTCTCTCTCTCTCTATCTCTCTCAACCTCACAGACTCACTTCTGTTGCCTCACCCTCTCACCGATCAGGATGCCAGCCAGGAGCAGAGGAGCCCACGCCATGATGCTGGGACACGTCTGCGTATTCTGCGTCTTCCCCTTCGCTCTTCGGCTCTGCTTCTGCGTCTGCGTCACTCGAGTTTGTGTCTGCGCGTCTCTCTCTGTCTCTCTGTCTCCTCCGTCTCAGTATCTTTATGCGTCGCTATCAGTACCCCCCCCCCCCCCCCACACTGCCCGCTCCACCGTGTGAGTGCGGCGACGAACTCCAAACCATGGACCGCGTTCCCCTTAGCGCTGCTGCAAATTTAAACGTGAGGACGAGCGCGTTCATCGGCAGGAATTCACCAACGCTCTCAGACAGAGCGATCGAACGGCTTACATCACAGAACAATCGGATCTCCAATCGGCGCTCTCAACAGACAATAGAAACATCACGCTTATTGTCTCTGCTTGTCTCCCGTGTCCTCCACCCGTGTCTCAAGTGTCTGCTGTCTCTGCAGCTGCGACACTGTGTGTCCAATTGTTTGTGTGACGAAGTGCCTCTCTGTCACACCTCTCCTCTACGGAAGGTGTCTGTCTCTCTCTCTCTCTGTGTGTCGCTTCTCTCTTTGGCTTGTGTCTGGGAGCTCTCGATCTGTGTCTCGTTGGTCGTCTCGCTGGGTCCGAGCGGCTGTTGTCTCCCAGTCGCCGGGGCTGTGGCCTCCGAAGTTGGCACTCTGTGTGTAGGCGTCGCTCTAGTTTTGTCCCACGAGTTGTAACACCGCGCCACTCACTACGTGAGTGTGTGTGTGTCTCGATATCTGTGTGCTTCTGTCCGGTTGTCTCCGTGTCTCTGTATCCGTGTCTCTGTGACACCGCCAACACCACCATGCAGTTGCTGCCCGCGTCTCTCAAGAGCGCAGCAGCTGCGAGGGGGGTGCGGGTGAGTGAGGAATGAATGAGGGGGGGGGGGGATGAGGAGTGAGTGATGGATGTGAGTGACGGATGAGTATGGGGGGGTGAGATAGGAGGGTGAATGAGGAATGAGTGAGTGCGGTCATTGAGGGATTAATAAGGGAGGTGAGTTGGAGTGGGGGGTGAGTGAAGGGATGAGCGAGAAATGCGTGAGGGGGGTGAGTGAAGGGTGAGTGAGCGGGATGGGTGAGGGGGTTGGGGTCAAGAGTGATGGGTGGTTTACGGGTTCGCGTTAGAAGTGGGAATCGTTGAGGAGTGAATGTTGGGAGTTCGGGGTGGGTGAGTTGTGAGGGTTGGGAGTGGTTGGTAAGGCGAGAGTGTTTGGGAGTGAGGGATCGGTGAGGAGTGTTTGGGAGTGAGGGGTGGGTGGGTGGGTGAGTGTAGATATTTGAGAGCGATGGGGTGAGTGTTGAGTGAGGGGTGGGTGTTGGGAGTGAGGGGTGGGTGAGGAGTGAGTGTTAGAAGTGAGGGATGGGTGGGTGAGTGGTGAGATTCGGGAGCGATGGGGTGAGTGTTGATTGAGGGGTGGGTGTTGGGAGTGAGAGGTGGGTGAGGAGTGAGTGTTAGAAGTGAGGGATGGGTGGGTGAGTGGTGAGGGTTGGAATTGAGGGGTGTGTGAGGATTGGGAGGAAGGGGCATTGCCATTCAATACAATCATGGCACAGGTGCAGGATTGTTTAACAGACACGCGTGAGTGTGTGTGTGTGTATATGTTTGTGTGTGTACGTGTCTGTGTGTGTACTGTCAATACGATTGTGAAAGTGTTTATAATTGCCAGAGAATGTGCGAGTGTGTATGTTCTTGTGTATGTGTGAATGTATTAGAGAAACGTTCTTGGGTATAAGATTAATATAAATGTACAGCAATTCGTCAATCCACTACTGGATTAAGTCCTCCTCACGTCACTTCGCTCCAGGTGGGGGGTTCACGATACATGAGCTTGTGTATGAGTAGGCCTTCATAGGTGCTCGCTAACAGCACTTGCCCCTACAGTCTGTTACAGGTTATACGGGGGATCTTTGTCTTTGTATGCGTGTGTGGGGAACGGTGGCGCAGCGATTAGCGCGCTGCGCTCCAGAATACCGGAGGAATCCGATGAATTATAAATATTTATTTTTTACAAATATCCAGTAGTTTTACAAACCCGGCAACCCGAGTTCGATTCCCGCTCACAGCCAACACCAGGGACGATTATCTGAACCTGTCCTGGGCCTCCCCAATGTCTACTCAGCCTTAAATGGGTACCTGGTGCGGTGTGTAAACATCGCCTTTGGGGGGGGGGGACAAAGGCAGCCAGTAGTGGTGCTGGCACACGTATGTATGTTGAACTTCTTTCGCACCGTACATAGCCAACCGTGCTTAATCGGTGGTGCGGGGAAGGACAAATTAAACACAAAAAAGCAGAGACACACCCCCTCGTGCGTCCTGTCGGCCTTCATAGGCGCTCGCTAACAGCACTTGCCCTAAAAGTATCTTACGCCTATTCGGGGGGTCTTTGTCTGTATACGCACGCGCGCGCGTGTGCGTTGCAACTGAGCAGGGTCAGTGTCTCTCGCGCGTTCAATGGAATTTCCGCTGTTATTTTGGGAGCCGCAGTGGCAGATAGGTGGTGGTGGGCTGGTGATGGTGGTGGGGTGGTGGTGGTGGGGTGGTGGTGGTAGTGTGGTGATGGTGGTGGGGTGGTGGTGTGGGTGGTGGTGTGGGTGGAGGGGCACGGCACGCGCTGCTTGAGCTTCCCGAAGCACCTCTGCTGCTGCACACAGGGCATTTAAATTTCACCATCATCAGCCATGGTCGATCCACTGCTGGATAATGGTCTCGCCGAAGTCGTCTCGCGGTCGCGAACGGGGAGCCTCGTCAGGGTTCGAGCTGCACTGCCCAGTGAGCAAGTAGTCAGCCTCTAAATCACCGCAGAACGAGGTCTGCAGGACACGAATGCGGTCAACTCCTTCGTCGATTAACAGTCCGCAATGCGACTTGCTGCCTGTCAGGGCCGGGATGCCTTTGTCGGGCATTCGGCTGGCGATGAGTAACAATTCTGGTCCAGCGCTGAGTGCCAGCTGTCACGCCAAACCTCGTCGATACGGAAATCAACACCGCACTGGCTATCATCAGCGGCACCGTCCTGAAGTCTCAAGACTCAAATGCTATTTTGAAGATGCCGTGTTATCAATTGGGGCCGCGTGGCCTAATGGATAAGGCGTCTGACTTCGGATCAGAAGACTGCAGGTTCGAATCCTGCCGTGGTCGGCATTTTGAATGTTTTCTTTATTTTACCAGCTAAGGCTCACTGAGCTTTGAAGCTCTTTTTCAGAAGCGACCTGGCCACAAATGATAGCTCATCAAAGGAGCTTATCACGTGCAAATTATAGCGGCCACATACTCTAAACGCGTGTTTCTAAATTTGGAGAGAATAACCGGAGATCCCGGAGAAAAATCCACGCAATCACGGGGAGAACATGCGATTTTACTGTAGTTTAAACCATTGCCACGCGGAAGGGAACGAGGCGGACTCGGCGACAGGGCTGTCACGGCGAGCTAGCTGGCTCCGAGTTCATCCGCTCGCTCGGCGAACGCCCTCGAGGACGCGTTCCCTCGCCAGAGTAACCATTTGTTCAAGATTGCGAATGCGCTGTATGCGTGAAAAGCTCTTGTGTCAATCCACTTGCTGGTTTAGGTGGGTCTTTACCACACCGTGCGCGTCTTGGGAGTTATTTGACCCTACTTCACCACGCTGTTGTGCAAGATTTTCCCGATGTTTTTATACTTCCTTGGATTATTTTTAAAAAAAAGCCTACTCCATTCGACCACGGCAGGACTCGAACCTACAATCTTCTGATTCGAAGTCAGACGCCTTATCCATTAGGCCACGCGGCCCACACGCATTGTTTCGCTCCACTTCTAACACAGTGTTGAGAGTTGATATCTACTTCGGTGTCAGGAAATATACGCTGCTGCGATTGTCTTCATTGGCTGCCCTCAACCAGAGGTGGGAATTCCTCATTCCCATGCCGGGGGCCATTAAAGCTAAAGGACGACCACTGTTGACTTTAAACAAAGTGGTAGTGAATGTATTCACCTTTGCGGGATGATGGGCAAAGTCAATCTCTGACTCGAATTTAAGCTCCCAGCCTTCCAACCGTATGAGTCGAGCTGACTCGCCACTTTATCATCAACAGTCACGATCTATCCACCGCTGGATGGAGGCCTCCACAAGCCGTCATCATCACAGTCCCCCTCTCTCTTTCACTCTTTACCCCACGCAGTCGTTCTCGCGATATTTCGGGATCGTAAGCGGGGACATTGACAAGGAAAATGGAACGAAAACTGGAAAGTGCGCAAAGAAACATGGAGATATTCTTAGCTCTTTCGGTAAAGTCACGTTGAAGGGAAACAATAAAATATATATATAAAACAATAAAAATTCTCACGACGTTTCGACCATAACACAAACGGTCATCATCAGGTGTGAAAACCACCAGATGATGATTTTCACACCTGATGATGACCGTTTGTGTTATGATCGAAACGTCGTGAGAATTTTTATTGTTTTATATATTTTTTATTATTTTATTGTTTCCCTTCAACGTGACTTTACCGAAAGAGCTAATAATATAAATTACTGCAGTCACGAAAGCTTAAAATCAAAATTAAACATGGAGATGTTCACGCTGGGACCTGACAATGTGGGATGAAAGGAGGAACACGTGGATTTGAGAACAAATACAATCTTGATTTGAAGCTTTCGTGACTGCAGGAATCCATACTCTTTGGTTATTTCGGTAAAGTCACGTAGGTATATATTTAAAAAAATAGATAACGACGTTTCGATCGCAACAACAAGCGACCGTCTTCAGGTGAGAGTACAAATACACAATTTTCCAAATCACTTTCATTATTCTAAAATAGCAAGTGGCATTTGGGCAGAACACAGCCTTTAGTGGTGAGATTGGGAAACAACACGGGTCATTGACGTCCGTTTTACAGAAATGTAACGTAAACACCACCTTTGAATGCATTTGGTTCATAAAACCAAAACCGCCCACGGCAGGATTCGTCCCTACACTCTGCTGATCCGAAGTCAGACGTCCTGTCCATTAGGCCACGCGTGCTGGTGAACGGCATCCTCCTACGAAGGAGTCTTGAGACTCGCTTGAGACTCGGCATTGAGGCTTTGCTTGTTCAATATGGATAATCGTTTCGCTATTCCAATGCACCACACACAGAGCTCAGGATTGAGCCTGAATAATAGCGTTTGGATAGGGTGGCCACTCTACATATATAGGCGGTGTGCAATGCAGTGCTACGCTGTTGGCACCAGAGTGCCGTCAAGCAAATTACATTGGACTCTACCGCCTACGCTCCTCATCTTTAACGCGCACTGACCAACGTGGTATAAAGCGTGCTCCGTATAGCTCGCACCACCGACACGGCGTGGAAAGTGGCCCTTTGTGCTAATATTCACTGCCTGCAATTAAAAAACACAGCCGGCGCGAGTTTGGACGAAGCATGCATTCGTATGCATTTAAAGGAAACCAACCACATGGAGTTTCAAAAACATTATCTAGCCCAGGGGTCGGAAATTTGCACCTCTTGAGCCGCATGCGGCTCTTGAAAAGACTGCTTCGTGATGTCATGTATGAAGGACCACTGTCTCGTATTCGTCACGTGCGCTTGCGGCTCTTGAAATATAGAATGTTTTAACTTTTCCGAATTGGATTTTTTTGCTATGTTGGTTGCCGACCCCCTCTTGTAGCCGATTAATATCGTGTGTAAAATTAAAATAAAATAAATATTGCGACCACGGCAGGATTCGAACCTGCAATCTTCTGATCCGAAGTCAGACGCCTTATCCATTAGGCCACGCGGCCACGCCGGTTTCAGATGAGCCTTTGAGTCTTGAGAGCCAATACGATGTTGTGTCTCTCAGTTCAAATGGGCAACAGAGCGGTGATCATCTTCATTGGCTTGCCCTAAGCCCGCGATTTAACAG